ATTTAATGTACTTGCTTCTAGACCGAATTCAGTCCGATATATCGAAATTAAGGTCATTCGAACTTATATTGGCCATTTGGTGCACAATTAAGCCCAAATCGGTGTAAGATATATATGGGAGCTATATCTAAATCTAATCCGATTATCGCCAATTTCAATGGGGTTCGTCCTTGGGCTAAGCAAATGTTGTTTGCAAAATTTCATCTCAATCGGATAATAAATGCGACCTGCATTTTGTTCACAAAAATACGTGAACAAGCGGCCGGACAGATGGACTGACATGCAGAAATCGACTCAGAAATAGATTTTATGAAGATCCTCAAAAGTAACTATGGGTGTATCTCTCTTCCCTCTCCATGTTATACCACTATATGGTGTAGGGTATAAAAAACACCAAAAAGAAAACATCTAAAATCATAGAAGTAACGAATATAGGGAGTTAGCGATAAATTTGGGGCCTACACGAAGACGTGGAAATATTAATTCAATATGATATTCAAATACGAAACTTCGAACGATTCCGGTGAATAATGTCATTAGAATAATGATTAGGGAGGTAATGAATATAGGGAGGTACCGTTATATGGAGGAAATACGAAGACCAAGACCCGCATATGCATTTTCGGTCATAGGCAGTAGTGGTGAATAATGTCGCTACAATCTTCAAAATACCAAGCATAGGGGGTGCCCTTATATGTAACCTATACAAAAAAGTGGACCTCTCTATATACCCATTTTCAATACCAAAAGTCCTGCAGCTAGATCACATCTAGAGTGATTTTTACAGACGGACAGATAGACAGACGGACGGACATTGCTAAGTCGACATCGAATTTTATGCTGATCAATAAAATATATACACTTTGTGATGTCTAAAAGCCAGTAAAGAAAGTCTTAGTCGGGCGGGGCAGTCTTTATGATACCCTACACCGCTAATTCAGAAGAGCTCCACATAACAATTAAAAGTTTTTATGGGAGAATTCAATCATACAGGCTATGATTATAATTATAATTTAAAGTTCAAAGGAATAAATATGCCGAAGCATTGCATTGCATTGTTGTATATTTTAAATTCGGACTTGTGTTGCCCATTTGGTGCACAAATAATTTAAAATCGGATAAAAATATATCCAAATCTGAACCGATCTCGATAAAATTTAACAAATGTATTTCTGAGCTGTATTTGATATATTTTCCAAAATATTGTTGTTACAGAGTGCATATTACGGCTGCAGAGGACAAAAATAACAAATCGGATGAACAATATGTATTGGAGCTATAGCTATATCTGAACCGATTTCGATCAAATTTGGCATACTTATTTTCTGGCCTGATTTGGTTGTATGTGCAAAATTCCATACTATTCGGGCTGATATTACACGTTTGGTGCACAAAAAAAAGCAAATCGGACAAAAAAAAGCAAATGGGAGCTATATCTAAATTTTGACCGATTATCTCCAATTTCAATAGGGTTCGTCCTTGGGCCAAGCAAATGTTCTGTGCAAAATTTCTTCTGGATCGGGCAAAAAATGCGACCTGTACTTTGTTTACAAAAATACATGGACAGACGGACGGACAGACGGACGGATGAACATGCATAAATCGACTCAGAGTGTGATTCTATGCAGATCATCAAAAGGAACTATGTGTCTATCTCGTTTCCTTTTGCCTGTTACAAACAAATGCACAAAGACATAATACCCTGACCACCTTGTGGTGTAGGGTATAAGTATATTTCGAGGAGTTACAAATAGAACGACGAACTTAATATACACTCTCATACTATTATATTTCGAGGTGTTACAAATGGAACGACGAACTTATTATACCCTCTCATACTATGGTGGAGAGTATAAAATTTGAGTTTGCTTTAGCGTAGTGAATTCACACGCACTTCAAACATTTTGTATAAGTTTTGCAAATTTTTGTTATTTACTGCAAAAATTGGAGATTTTAGTCACTGATGTTAGTAAGTTAGTCAACTCGTAGGAAGTAGGAAGTATATATATATATATATATATATATATATATATATATATATATATGTTAGTTACTACGCTTATAACTTAAGAACCGCTGGACTGATTTTAACGATTTACACAAATTCGGCATTGTCTCCTCTCCGAAAAGGATAATATCCAAAAAACTCGCGTAAAAATGTGATATATTAACATTTTTATTTTGACTTTTCAAATGTACAATAGTAATGTTTTATTTTGCATGATTTTTTTCCATTTTGACTTACTTTTTCTAATGTACATTTGTAGTGTTTTTTATTTTTTATTTTTGAATTCGAATATTAATACCAATTTATTTCATTGACTTGATTTCTTGAGAACTGAAATTGATGGCGGGTTACATGGAAGTGTAGTATACGGAATAGAGGATATCGAAATAATTAAACGCGGTCACACCAAAGTTAAAAGATAATTACTTTTTCAAAATCGCTAAAAACTCACGAAAAGAAGATCTCATTGCACAAATTCTGAAATCGGGGAAAAATCGAAAAAAATGAAATCGAATTTTAAAATAATAGTACATTCTATTGACAAACTTTGTAAGGATCTTTAAACATTTGCTGTAAAAAATCAGGTAACAAGTTGAAGATTTTTACAATTTGTTATTCTTCTTTTGTCAATTTTTTTCAATTTGTATTATCATATTGAATTCAGTTGATTTTTTTTTTGAACAAAATAAAGAATAATTTTTCACTATATACAATTTTTCACCAAAATAAGTGCGATATAGGATGTAAACTGACATCTACCTTTCAACTCCAGGGCCTATATCGTGGTTCAGCTGGAAGATGCGGACACATTTAAATAATCAAAAATGACCGAAAAAGCCAAATGGGCCTCATCTCAAAGCGTGAACATACCTTTTTTTATGTGACAATAATCCGTCCAATGAGAGATCAAAATGCAAAATTCTTTGGGAGTACAATCAGGAAAATACTAAATATAAAAGGTGCAAAATAGTAGAGCGAATGGGACTTTTATTAAGAAAAGGATTTCTATCCTCCCAGAAATTCTTCTCAAACATTCAAGATACCTTAAATCGCTTTTGCAGGTCATGATATAGATCATAACTCACGGATAAGGGTACAACCCGATTTTATATATATATATAACCATCGTATGATTCAAGCTATTTTTGGGGTCTTAGTCCCTTTTTATATTTTGGCCCTTATCAGGCATCTTTGTGTCTAAGGGGGTACAGAACCTCTTCGCATAAAATTTGAAATTTTCAGAGTAGGGCCCATATTGGTCTTGAACACATTCATCAATTGATTTGGCTAAACAAATTTGTTATGCTACCCTGGGGAAGGGAATCATCATACAGATAATTGCCACATAGGAATTATTTAAGTAAAGTCTCCACATTGGAGTATCCCCAATTCCACTTTCACACTTAATGTGTGGTCAGAAAGGAAAATTTTGTATTCTATTGAATTTGCAACTCCCAAGAGAATATTGGTTGGGAACGTAGATTTGGAATGTACATCTATATGAAATAAATTGTAAGAACATGAACAAATTACAAATATAAGAAAGTAGTACGGGACCGAATATTTGTTGAATCGACATTGAATTATACTATGATGAAAAATATGGACTTTATGGGGTCTCCAATTTACAATTTAAATGGAAAATAAAAAAATTCCCATCTTACGGTAATGGGTGTGAAATACCTATAATTTTGAGTTGGCCTCTATTTGCCATATTGGATTATAAGGGGTAGAAGAAAGTTTTCAAAGTAGGTCGATGTTTCGGAGTAGTGCCTTTATAAATGTACCTCCTGATTTTACCATATTTCAAAGGATTTGGCTAAAAATGTGTATTCGGGGGGTAAAAATCTTACACAAAAATGTCAACATATTCACAAATTTTAGAATTTTCTCCATGCAATAGTATCCCCTCAAGTCCACCTTTTGGCGGACAAACAGACCGACATGGTTAGGGCGACTTATGAGGACTCTAATACACAATCCAAGGTGCTAATGGGGTTAAAAAAGTAATTTACTTTGCCTATTCTTAAATCATTCAGCCCTCAATTATGAGGTGTACAAAATACAGTAAATTCCAAATTGCTTCTCATTTGACTGTAAAATTTTGCTACGATTTTTACCATACTAAAAATTAATTTGATCCCTTACATGGGGATAAGATTCATATACACTTTTTAATAGATTTGTATAGCACATCCACACATTTGAAGCACACGGTTTAAATATTGAAGTCCACTGCTTATAAATGGGTACAGATATTTTAAAACACTTTTAATCTACCAGTACGTGAACACTTATATCAGTCATATCTGTGAATAATTATGCTTTTAAAAATATGCATAATAAACAAAAACTACGGGCCGGCAACGCGGACCGGGCCAGCTAGTTTAGGATATTTTAAAATGTCTAAATCTAAAACGCCTTAAAAATACGACCGCCGACGACAGTACCAGATGCTTGACAAATAATATTGCTTTAGGTTGTTTCATTGTGTTTTTTTAGTATAACCTGACATCCATGTTTCATATTGCTTCTTATAACTGCCCATTTATTTGTACATCCATTTTATTTAGCATTTTATATTCGAACATATTGCCTCAATTTGCCCTGCAATTGAATAAACGATTGTTGCTCTCCCCGTTGGGTAAACATTACAGAATATCCTCTCGCTTTGGGACAACAAAAACTAATAAACAAGCCAGAGTCTTGATTAGGGAATAATCTTGTATTGGAAATCCAACAGTGAATTCAATAGGAGCAACGTCTGAGGCTGGCAATTGTTTTGTTCACTTTGTTGACATACCTTTGCGAAGGAATTTTCATTTAAAATTCGAAGGTCTAGAGAGTTGGAGGGACAGAGGGGGATTGCTGTTCAAATATCTGCCCCTGCAGAATTAGGGTCTCGTTGTTTTGTCTTGTTTCTTCTTCTATTCTTCTGTATCTTTGAGCTGTTGTACTAAATTGTTCTCTGTCTGCTTCTCTTGTTTTTCAGGTGGCTATTATTCCATTGAGCAAACAAAAAGCCGTCTCCGTATTATAGCATTGAATACAAATTTCATGCGACATGATCCAAAATATTCGCAAAGCCATTTGGCAGCTGTTAGGCAACGTATGCCATCCAATGCAGCGGTCGGCAGCGGCGGTGGTGGTGGTGGCGGCTCCGATTCATCAGAATACAAAAATTATTATTACCATCATGGCAACATGCATCAACATCACGGTCATGCCGGCGACTGGACATCAGGCCATAGCTATGGCTATGGCAGCCATCATCGTGGCATTAATGTAATGCCCGGGAGCATGCACTACAATGGCATGGAGACGGGTGGACGTGTAAGTGCTTTGTCGGAATTTGAAAATCAAGATACAGAGAAACAATGGATTTGGCTGGAAGAAGTTCTATCAAAATCAAAGGCTAACAAGGAAACGGTAAGTGTTTTTAATGAATTCATGTTTTATGCAGACATACATACGTGATTGGGACGATGATGTTTGAAATTTCCAATAGAAAGAGAAATCGAAAAACTGGTATTGGTTGTGTACTCAAGGGATGGGAACAAAACCCAAAAAAAAAAAGAAATTAAGTAAACTTCTGGCAATCAAAAATTCTAATATCGAAATCATGTTTTATGGAGGTAGTATAGCTGTATGCGATATTGGTCAACATTTTTAAATTTACTTTGAAGTTATTATTGAGATAAATACAAAAAAACGTGAGAGAAAACTAAATGATTATAAAGTTCATGGGATCATATTTTATAAAATAACCCCCCCCCCCCCCCCTTACTTTTACATGTTTATTTAAATATTTTTCATTAATTTTTTTTTGCATTTAAATAAATGATAGAAGACAGAATTTCAGCAAAACGTGAAGAGAGAGAGAGAGTAAAATTTACCACCACCTCGTAAGTTCAAGGCGAATTTGGTATAACATTTCCGAAGGCCATTTTTTCGGAAACTTAAAAAATCAATAAGTTTAAAAGTAAAGCCGAACATTACTTTTGTACACTATCTTTTGAGAAGGAACATTTCGGGACAAACCTGTAATTTGACATCGAGAAATTTTATTTTGTATAGTCTTACTTTAATCTAGAACCTAGAAAATATAGCAGTACAAATTTTCCCTTTGAATTCACTGAATCTGTAAATCTGACTGACTTTGCACGAGGTTTAGCCTTGGTGGTTAGGCCTGTGATAAACCTGAGTATTTTGGAAATTCGTACTAAAAGAGTACGGAAAGTACTTTGTATAGGAAAAACGGAATGAGGTAGACTTTTGTCTCTAAGAGTCACTGTTGGAGTGAAGGGAGATGTACAAAAGGGTTTTTCAAAATTCGAACTTTAAAGTTTCCAAAAGTTCTAAAATGGTAGTATATTCCTAAAATTGTAACATTTGGTATTATGTGAACGGATAAAACTAAAAAATTGAAATTTGTTAAGGTTAAGGTTGGAAAGTTAGTTTGAAGGTGGTTTGGAAATGTGTACTAAGTGTGCCACAATTACAGAATGGTACTATATTTGGTACAATTTGATAGTGGGTGAACAGATAGTGCTTGAAATCTAAAATTTGGTATAGGATCACGGTTCATGTGTGGCCTAGACATATGTAGGTGGTTTTGGAAATGGGTACTATAATTTTACGAAAGGTACTGAATGGTAATGTATTTGGTATTGGCTGAAGGTGTCCTATATTTGTACATACGAAAAGTACCAAATAGTACTAAAATTGGTAATGGATGAAGGAGGTGGTTATGGAAATGTGTACTACAATTGTACGGAAAGAACTAAATAGTGTTAAATTTGGTATTGAATGAAGGGATTGAGCTGGGATCTTGAAATTTGATATACATGTCACTGTTGGCGTCTGAGGTTGAGATTTTGAGGAGGTTTGGGAAATGTGTACTACAATTGTACAGAAAGCTCTAAAAAGTACTTGATTTTGTATTGAGTGAAGATGAATGGATTTGAAATCGTGAGATTTTATATTGCGATAACTGTTGGTGTCTAGGATTCAGATATGGAAAATTTTTACACCATCCACCATAATAGGATGGAGGGTATATTAAGTTCGTCATTCCGTTTGTAACCCATCGAAATAATAATTTTAGACCCAAGAAAGTATATATATTCGTGATCAGCGTAAAATTTTAAGACGATCTAGTCCTGTCCGTCCGTTTGTGGTAATCACGCTAGAGTCATAACAAATAAAGATAGGAAGCTAAAATTTTACACAGATTAATCTTTTGTCTGAAGGCAGGTCAAGTTCGAAAATAGGCTATATCAGTCCACAATTTCGTATAGCCCCCATACAACTGTACCCTTGGATATTCGGTATTTTGATGATTTTGGCCACATTTTCCAACGGAATTATCAGAAATTCTACACAAAGGAGTTCTTTGTGGGTAAAGAGAATTGTCTTTATAGGTCCTCGATATCGTATATACCCAATTTAACGGTACCTTCCGACATTCTGTATTTTGATGATTTTAGCCACATTTTCCATGAAATTGTCTTAAACTCTACACAAGGAGTTGATCGCTACTACTTTACCACCTGGAAGAGAATTGTCCATATAGGTGTGCGATATCGTACCCCCTGCTATTCTGTAATTTGATGATCGTAGCCAGATTTTTCAATGTAATTGTCTAAAAATCCCATATATATCTTCAACCGATTGTGCATCAAATTTCCAATATCAGTCAAAAAGTCCTAAATTCTAATAAATCCGACCGAATTCAGTCTAGAAGCAAGTACATAAAATTTGGAGAAAATCGGTTCATATATAGCTATAGCTCCCATATATACGTTTCATTCAATTTGGCTTTTAAGTCCTTCACAATCGTAATATGCATTCGCCAACAATGATATTTGGTACCAGATATCTTATAAAGCTCGGAAATACCTTTGCACAAATTTTATCGAGAACGGCTAAAATTTGGATGTAGCTAACATATAAATATTTAATCCGATATCAGGTTTATTGTGCAAATAATGGCTAATATCAGACCGAATTGAGTGAATTTTTGGACATACGTTTCCATTGTGTGCAATTCGGCTCCGATATATAATTTTTTAATATAATCGTTCTCGAAGTGATATCATGCACTCTATAGCAAACTATAACTGTTCTAAAGCCAAATATTGGTAGGTAATATGATATATTCGGACCATACCGAAGCCGCATAGGTTAGCACAGACCGGCCTATCGTGTTGCAAGTTCAACAAGGTTTCTTGTTCCTACTTCAGATCTTATCGCAGATAGCTGTAGTATGCGCGGACGACCTTAAATAATTGGTGGTCTGAATAAAAACAGCATCGACCTGCACATTTAGTCTAGGTTCTAGGTGAAAAGTGTGGCCGTCGCTTTCGTGGCGGATATTTTTATATTCCTCGCATCACCCTGTTACTATTTTGTGTTATTATCATTCTTTGATCTTGTCGCGTTTTGGACTTCATATATTTAAAACCCGGAAAAAGTGTTTTTAGCAGAATGCCGAGATATTCGTCGGAGTATTGGTAGGGCTTGAGTTAATTCGTGTCATTTTTTCATGCAGTATTCGTATATTTGCTGCTTCGATGCTAGCGATAAGCAGAACTCATTCCAGGGTTGCTACTTTTCTCTGGCTTTATTATATTCATTCGACTTATGCCTGTATGGACGCCTGAATTTCCCTTAGTTTGTTCTTGCAGCGAGTTTGTGTGCCCGATTGTAGGGTAAAAAAGCAAACAGTTATAATCTGATAATCGTCTTGACCATTTAACTCATTCTAATTGCAGTGTTAAATCAAATAATTACCAATTTTTTTCTCTTATTGTTAAAACCCCCTCTGGACTGGGCGTGAGTGTGCTACTTTACTAACTACCAGCAATTTGTACCTTTTTGCTTGACTCCACTTTCATTCAATTGGGGGGTTTTTACTGTCATTACCAACACATGCAAAAAAAAAAAACACAAAAAACGAACCATCCAACAAATGAGTTCTTTGAAGACAAAAACTTATAAAACCAACCACCCTCACTCATCTTGTGGATGAAAAAAAACTTTCCCTATGGCAAAGAAATTGCAGGAAATTTAGTTTTCATTACCAAGAAACGAAAACTACAACAGAGATGTAACAAAGCTTAAAATAAACTTATAATTTCTTGCATTTGTTTTTTTTTCGTAGATTTTATTATACCCTACAACACTATGTGTTGGGGGTATTATAAGTTTGATTGGGCCAAAAATTATGTAACACCACGAAATATTGGTTTCCCACATAGGAAAGTATATATGGATCATCCTAGCTCGCCGAGCTGAGTCGATCTAGCTATGTATGTCCGTCCGTCCGTCTGTCCGTCTGTCCGTCTGTCCATGTTAATTTGTAATCACTCTACAGGTCGCAATTATGGCCCGATCTTCACGAAATTTGGAATGGAGGTCGGGGTTGGGCCAGAATAGAACCCTATTTCTTTTTGAGATGATCGCCAAATGTTTAGGGGTTGAAATGGACCAGATACTGAAAAAATGTCGGATTTTGCAGTAGCTATACAGGTCGCAATTATAGACCAATCAACGCGGAATTTCGCATGTAGCTAGAGTTTAGGACGGGGAAGAAGCCTACCAATTTTGGTGGTCATCGGATAATATTTAGCGGGTAAAATAGACCATATATTTTGTGTTGAAAAAATTCAAAATTTTTCATTAAACCGCGAATATTTTAAATCCCGGCGAAATCACAAAGCCATGACAAGGTTACTTCTGACCTTTAGATTGATGTTAACATCCAATAAATCGGATATATAGCAAAATATGTGCGATATATATGTTTATCAAAGAAGATATGCTTGAAAGATCTCTTATATGTCGAGAACGGCTGAACTGATTTCGACAGTTCTCATTAATTCAGAATGGCCTCTTGGCAGGAAAGAAAAAACGTCTAAAAAAATCGCATAAAAATATCTCTCTAACGATGAAAATATTGATTTTGTAAAATTTTCTCATATTTTTTCAATTTTGTCATATTTTTGGCATATTTTCATTTTGAATTAAACATTTGGTAATATTTCTACAGCTAACAAAACTAAGTAGTTAGGATATCAGGATATCATATACAGATCGCATTTATGGCCCGATCCTTACGAAATTTTGCATGGGGATAAGATGAGGGTCAGAATAGAAGCCTACTCTTTTTGGAGATGATCGCTATATATTTAGGGGTTGAAATGGACCAAAAAACTGCAAAATTGTCAGCAGGTCGTAATTATCGCCCGATCCTCACGCACATTTGAATGGGGGTTACCGGACATTGCAAAAGCCAAGCAGTTTTGGATGGCCATCCAAAAATATTCAATGTGTAAAATAGTTTGCCAACTTTTGTAGACAAAATACGAAAATGTCTATTCCAGAGACTTTTTGGAGAATTCACAAATACAGGAAAGACGCACTTC